AGAGGAGCTCAGAGACTTTCTCCTCTCCCAGCTTATGAAATTATTTTGTGAAAACTCTTAATTTATCCATTTAAAGAAGTAAGTCAGTTCTGGGGCGATACACCTGGAGTTTTTGCAAATCAGAGCATTTCTCCAGAGACATCAGGGGTTATTTTTGCTATGGAAAATAAATTCAAGCAAATTAGTGAAAATACACTTAGTGCAGGTGATACTCACAGCCCTGCCCCAAGGATGCAAGTGGTGCTGGTGGTGCAGGAGGTAGAGGTGACCTAGGGTGTGAAAGCTTTGCTCTGTGACTGCAGCAGGTACTGCACCCAATGAATCTGTGCTCCAGGGAGCAAATCCTACTTTGCCACAAAACTTAAATGGCTGGACTGGGTGGAGGGGTCATTCACACAGGGACTCCGTCCATTCCTGGTAAAGGACATCACTGATTAAGCACAGTAGGTCTATGAGCTTTTGTTATTTCCACAAGCGAGCTACAGAGAGTAATATTACGCTTACAGATGAGTGTTGCATGTGGATTCTTGTAGAGGACCGAGTTCAGTTCAAATCAGCTCTCAGACAGGCAGCAGTTGGAGGTAACTTCTTAATATTGTTTGCATCATACTATGCTGGTGAGGGAAAATGTCCCTGGAGACCATGTCTATTGATTGAGAAATGGGAGTGGCTCTCCTCCTCCTTTTAGGTGAACTGTAGTAAACTAGGATTCAAGGAGAACCTGTCTGTGCAGGTGGAGAGGAATTCACTAGGAGAAAATTATTTCTTTTTTTTGGTGTTATGAAATGCAGTAACAAGACAGATGAGTTTTATAGTTTATGTTCATTGTTCTTACAAGACTAGTTTTTCTTGTATGCTTGGTTTTTCAGTGCTGTAATTTTCTTCTTTCTTGTGATGGAGATGAATGCTTTTAGAACGTGATGGTTCATTTCAGGATCATGTCACAGGACTGTACTCTCACAGAGCAGCAAATAGCTGGCTGCAGTTCTGAACTTTTGTGTTCAGTCCTAAATTTTTAGCCTATCTTTAGCTTGAAGACAGAGATAAGAAACAGTCCCACCAACGCACAAATGCAATTGAATCTAAAGTTAAAAATTGGAAAAGGATAGCAGGGTCACTTAGTGCTTACTTCCAAAGAGACTGTGAGTTCAGATGTCTCAGCATCCACATGGGGTGACTTTATGTCATCAGGGAATGAAGTTGCAACACGTGCACTGAAGTAAGGGCCTGGCATGGCATGAAATTGCTAATGATGCCCCGCTATTGCATTAAAATTGGAGCATGAAGAAAATGCAAATACCATTTCTCCCAGGTAGCAATGAATAAACTGGAAGATTTTCAGTAGGTCTCTTGTACGCTTTTTTCAGGGATGAGAGGGAGCAAAAAAAGCTGGTTAGTTATTCCAAGTGCTCCCATGTAATGAGGGTATCATAGTCTTCATAGTATTCAGCAGACATCCAAATACCTGTTACTTTTTATTTGTCCCACTGTTCACCTCACAGCTTAGCCTGGCTTCAAGTGAACTGCTACTTCTACAGAAATACATAAGCTCAGTTAGAGTCACAGCATGAGGAATAGCTGATACTGTCTGTACAATTCAAGGAAAATAGAGAAAATCACAGGAATTTTATGGGAAACAATAACCTCAGCCCATCAGTGGGGACTGTAGATGAACTGTGGCAAAACCACATATGGTATAGTCCCCTTTCTCCATGGGAGGAAGATGTGCTTTGTCCTAGTGGTTTCACCTCACCTCATCTTCAAGGTCAAATTTGCACTCAGTAGTTACTAACAATTATATGTAATTTGTCTGTGACCAGCTAGCCTTGATATTGCAGAATCACATAGAGTGGCTGAGGTGTGAAGACACCTCTGGAGATCATCCAGTCCAGTCCTCTGCTCAAAGCAGGGTCAGCTACAGCAGGTTGCTCAGAGCCATGTCCAGTTGGGTTTTGAACATCTCCAAGGATAGAGACTTCACAACCTCCTTTGGGCAACCTATGCTAGTGTTTGACCACCCTCATGTTAAAAAAAAAAAAATTCTTCATGTTTAAATGGGATTTCCTGTGTTTTGGTTTGCGTCTATTGCCTCTTACCTTTCACTGGGCACTACCAAGAAGAGTCGGACACTGACTTCTTTGTTTCCCTCTCCCGTGCCCCCAATCAGGTATTGATATACATTGATAGATCCCCCTGAGCACTCTCTACTCCAGGGTGAAAAGTCCCAGCTCTCTCAGTTTCTCCCCATATGGCAGATGCTCCAATGCCCCCATCTTCTTTATGGATTTTTGCTAGGATGACTCAAGTACATCCTTAACTCTCTTGTACTGGGAAACCCAGAAATGTGGCCTTGCCAGTGCTGAGTTGAGAGGAAGGATCACTCTCCACCTGCTGGCAACACTCCTCCTAATACAGCCCAGGAGGCTGTTGGCCTTGTTTCCCACAAGGGCACATTGCTGGCTCATGTTTAACCTGATGTCCACCAAAATGCACAGGTCTTTCTCTGCAGAGCTGCTTTTCCCGCTGGCCAGTCCCCAGCCTGTCCTGGTGCATGAGGTTATTCCTCCTCATGTGTAGGACTTTGCATTTCCCTTGCTGAACTTCACGAGGCTCATGTCAGCCCAGTTCTGTAGCCTGTCCAGGTCCCTCTGAATGGCAGAACAGACATCTGGTGTGTCAACCACTCCTCCAAGTTTTGTACCATCTGCCAACTTGCTCAAGGTGTGTTCTGTCCCACCACTCACATTGTTAATAAAAAGATGTTAAACAGCATTGGGCCCCAGTATCAGCCCCTGGGGTATACCACTAGTAACTGGCCTCCATCCTGGACTTTGTGCTGCTGATCACAATCCTTTGAGCATGGCAGTTCAGCCAGTTGTTAATCTACCTCACTGTCCATTTATCTAGCCTGTACTTCATCAGTTTGACAAAGAATTGTCAATAGCTTATTTTAAGTAAGTATTTGTGAAAGCAAAACACATATGGAAAAATAATTTTAGAAAGTAGCCTCATGAAAATGTTTTGTCAAAGAAAACACTCCAGCAAATCAGTAAATTCCAGATGAAACAGTAACAAAAGACATTCATTCATGCTTGACTCAGAGTTTTAGCACTGCCAGCTTTCTCAGTTCTATCACAAATCTCGTTTTATACACTGTGTAGTTGAGAGCTGGAATTTTAAAAAGGATAGAGCATTTTGGTTTTCATTAAGAATCAAAAAGGAAAAGAAAAGAACTGGCCTTTGCAACTACAGCAAAAATACAGAAATGTGTCGTTCCTGTACCCTGCGATGGCCGGAAGCCAAAAAGGAGAGAAATTATGTCTCAGATCAGTTTAACATTTCTGAATTATGTCCCATCTCAGCCACTTTGGTGATTTTGGGCACACTGGACTTGTGTTTTCATAACACTTGAGATTGACAGTGATAAGTGTGTTAATGAAAGGTGGGATGGTCTAGACTGCCTGAAGCCACATTTGATTCTTTGCTTTTGTACAGGCTTCCTATGTGCTCTTGAGAAACTATAGGTCAGAGCCAGCAATACCACTCATCCGGACAAGTACATCACAGCTCGGCTGGCTGTCAGACAGCACAGTGAGGGGAAATATTTCAGTTATCAAATAGATGGGTAATCCCAGCCCTCCTGTACGTTGTAAATTGAATATTACACTGGTAATCACCAAAGTCAACATATTATCCTGTCACTTCAATTATGTAAAAATTTGAGATGCTGAAATGTCGTCTGTGGAAATAATTTTAAAGATAGAAAGGCAACCTACATCCTTCATGAGGGAAAAGTCCCAGCAGTGTCAAGAAGTTCCTTCAGATTCAGCATGAAGAGTTACCTGGTACTATCCCTGCTCTACAGGCATCATCCTCTGGGGATGTCCCAGACACAGGGCCTCTGGATTTCAGGCAACACTTCATATTTAGGCAAGATTTCCCAAAGCAATGTATCTGATACCCTGAACAAAAACACCAGGATGAACTCTTTTAACCTTGAGGAACTGACTCAAACCTGTGCCGTGCTTACAGATAGTAAGTTTTGTCTCTCTGCTCATGAAGTAGTTACCTCTATTGACTGCCATGGGACCAGACTTCTCCCCTTCTCTTTTTTTTTTTCACCAAAGCCTGTGTTTATACAACAGGATGGATCAGCCCTTCCAGCTGCCGCTGGAAAAGTTCCTGTCCAAGGTCTGGGAATCTCTTTGGTGTTTGCTTGGTTCATGATCTATAGGAGATAATCCCTTATAGTAAGTGCAGGCTTACTCCCTTCATCCACAAGATCCAAATTCTTTCTGCCACTTCGTTTTTCCTGGGAAGAGATGTGGAGTAGGAAATAGCTTCCAGGTCTTTTAGGCATCAGCAAACACTGGGAAAAGGCTCCAGCTACCTATTGACCTCCTGAAAAAGCAACTGTACTGCTGGTAGGCCTCTCCCTTCCTACCCCACCTGAGGACGCAATGCTCTAGGTAGCTGGAATAATTAATTTTCCATCGTGAAGCATTAATAACCAGGTATGCCAGACATTTATTATCTCAATCAGACTCAGACCTGATTCTTTTAAGATTTCTCACAAAGCTAAATTGCCACAAAGACAATTTACACCCAATCTATCTCAGGGTCTGAAGCTCACTCTCTGCTGCATGGGTTGCAGTTTCTCCTCCCACCAAATTTGCAGAGAGCTGAAACAATGTTGATAAGAAGCAATATAAGACTCCTGGCTATACATGTTGTTCTATCCGCTGGCTAGGACTGTATTTTTTTTAAATGTGTAGGATTGTGCACAGTTATTTGCATACACTGCTTATTAAAAACAGTGTTGTGAGGAGCAACAAATTAATTTTATCCAGCTGTGTGATTTCTATCCTTCTGGTTTGGCCAATGCATATCAGAAAGAACCGGCCATCTCTCATCCATGTTCAAGCTACAGAGCGTTTAAATGCCTCCACTTCTCATGACATGATTCCACTGCCAGATATTTTGTGCCTATATTTCTGTAGTAAGCCAATCTGATTGCTACGTGAGCCTCTGGTTGCCATCTGCTTCAGATGAAAAATTTCACACCAAAACCATCAAAGACTGCAGAAATCCTGTGTGGAATGAAACTTTCTACTTCCGGATACAGAGAAAAGTCAAGGTACACAAACCAAAAACTCTCTTCTTCATCTCATCTCTATGCACCTCCTTTCAGTTTAGCCCAGAACAGGATGTCATGTCTTCTAATGCCTATCTGAATTTACTTAAAATTCCCCTAGCAAGCTGGAGCAAAACAATTTTGGCTTTTGCTGGAATCCACTTCTCTCCTAACAGATAGTTATTATTTATATATCGGTAATCTGAGTCTGACCTCCTTGTAGAAGGCTGACTGGACCAATGACAGAGTGACAACACAGAGAAACTATGAAGTAAAAATATAAAGCAACACTGTAACAGAAAAACACATCTTTCCCTGAGAGGACATGAAATAATGGCATATCAATGCCAGGAAGCTGCTAAATCCTAGTATGATTAAGATCTTTACTCAGTTTGCTGCTGATAATTACACTACACTCAAACACCTATGAACAGGTGGCTGAAAGTGGAAAGCCCAAGGACATAGAAAGGTAGTTATTGATATGAAGTGACCTCTGTTGCCCCTGTTGATAAGGGACAATATAGGACTTCTGGCTATCCATATTGCTTCCTAAAAGATTGCATTTTTTTGTGAGAGCTACTTAAAAGCATAAAAGGTGACCCAAGAGAAATCTCAGTTCAGCCTTAATTGATAAGACTAGAAGTTGTTTCTTATAAAGCAGATTACACTTATTTTCTTACTCTTCCTTGTGACACTTTCTCATCAATACTTTTCTATTTCCTCTCTGTAAAGCAGGTGCTGAACCTGGAAGAGCTGCAAAATGTCATGCTTCTTCAGTACATGATAATGAATTGGACATTTTTCATTTCTTTTCCCAGAATATTTTGGAAATTACTGTTTCTGATGATGACATCATTCATGATGATGACAACACGATTGTGCTTTTTGATGTAGCTAAAATCCCGCTTGGGGAAAGAGTGCTTATGGCATTCCCACTAAATCCACAGGTAAGAGCTCCGTCAGACATTTAGTACATCTTGATGTCCATTCTCTTCCCTCTAATTAAAGAGGTGTGCTGTCTCTTCTGTCTTTTACCACCAGGATCAGCTTGGTGGTAAAAATGTAACAAAACTTATGAAAATCTTGGAAACTGTACACTAGTGACAAAATGGATGGCCTTCTCAAATTCCTGTTGGTTTCCTCTGGCAGACATCATGGCCAAATTCCCAAGCCCCAGAGCAGATGTAATTTTAGGCAAGCTTTGCACTTTTAATAATCTGACAGAAAATGACAGAGTTTATCTAATCCTCACAAAGATTACAAAAAGAAAGACAATACAAGGACAGGAAAATGGCCTGTTTCCACAATATTTTACTAAACACTAAGTCTTAGCATATGGTGTTCAGCACATGGAAGCTGGCAAGGAAGAAAGTGTGAAAAATAAAGGTTTACTAGGGAGACTTGTAAGGACCAAACACCCTTTGTTCTGCTAGTACAATTGAGATCTTCTTTTCCTTGGGGAAGAAAAAGCTGCCTCTGTCCTCTAATGCTGACAGTAGCAAGCATGAAACAGAATATTGTTACTTATTAAAGCATAAAGGAAACTGTGCTTCCAAAAATGAAGGTCACTTTGCAAACCTCTGCACATGCTAATAGAGACTGCTTCATTTTTTTTCTTTCTTTTATTTTCAGAGGAGGGAGGAGCTGGAAGTTGAGTTTGTATTGGAGAGCATGTGAGTAAAACCCCATTATTACAGGAGCAGCAGCTTGGAGTGGTGCATCGGTGCAGGGAAACCTTCTGTACACCCAGTATCATCTTAATAGCCAGATGCACCCTTTTTCCAAACTTAATGTGTACATCAGCAAATAATTGTAAGAAAGGAAAATGCCATGATGTGGAGAATGAGTTCAGAATTTTAATTCTGTGACTTTCTCTTACAATTTATATATTACTTACATAGTTCAGAGCTTGTTTTCTGGGGCTGGTAAATCCCCCTGCAGTAACTGTAGATTTTCTGGAGAGCGTTCTCTGGGCAGCTTATGGCTGAGGAGAATATCGCTACCCAATCTGTGACATACCTGTGCTATTAAGGCTGTTACAAACACTTTCCAGGTGCCTTATTGCAATTGAATAATTTCTGCTACGTAGTTATGTGGCATTTAGTGAAAAGGGAGCATACTTCCAGAAACAATAGGAAGGAGAAAAAAAAAAAAAAATTTGAGAGAAAAACGTGTCCTGTTCAGGACAGTATCCAGATATTATATTGTTTATAAAATACATATTATTTGTTCTTGCTTTCTAGCCGGGGTCCTCCTGAAACCATCATCACAAATGGGGCAATAGTGGTAAAATATCATTTGCTCTGTTCTCTTGTGTCCTTTCCCAGATCTTTCCTTACCTTAGCTGACTATGGTGGCAGTGAGCGAAACATTGCAAGTCTTCATTCTTTAGTGACACTTTTTGTCTTAGGAGCTTTATCTTTGAGGAGGCCAGCATGATCTTAAAGGAGCCTTCAGAATGCTATCATTTTCCTTTTTTGTCTGCATCCATTGAAAATTACAATGTGCTTAGCATAACACCATCTTCCCGCATGACAATGATGTTAATTCTCACTTTCACTGGATCTGGCAGAAGCCTCCAACAGAGCTGGCCCCCACATTCAAGCAATGACCCTTGCTACAATGACCTTTCCAACATCTGCCAGCACTGGTGGTGAGATGTCTGGAAGAGTAATCTAATTCTCTGTCCCCATCACATCTATTCTAGTGTCGTGAAGTAGCCTGCTTGGAAGTTCACTTGGACAGAAGGATGAAGAAGAAGCATTCTTCAGGTAAGCTTATGAATTCTTTAACTGAGTATTAACGATTTTACCCTCTCTAACAATGCCTAGAAATTGCATCATCCAAATATTAAGGCTTTAGTTGACCAGATCTAAGGTGATTTGTAAAAACTTTGCAGTAGGGAATGCCACCAGTTCTGCAGCAGGTGTAGGTTTGGGCTTCTGACTTCATGGGGAGCCTTGTGCCAGACTAGAAACAACATCAGATGCTTGTACAGAAGGTATCTAAACCCCAGGCTGAGATCCTGAAAACCTCTGCTGTAGTACTGCTAAACCCTGAAGAAGCTTACTTCCTTAGGTGTCGTAGTCCATGGCCGTAACTTTCCTCAGGATCTCTGACAGTTCAACTTCCGCATATGCACAGAAACACCTCATTTTTTGCAGGGGTTAGCCACTCAGCAGCTGGCTCCTGCCTGACCCTGATCAACATCCAGAATCTAGAAGTTCCTCTGCCCACATCCCCTGAGGGGCTGGATCTGGTAGGCAATCTCAGAGCATGCGTAACACACACCAGCAGGATTAGCTGATCTCTTGATATAAATAGGGTCATCTGCTGCAGAGTCAGACCTTATTTTAGGGGACTGAGAACTTTTCTTGCTCATTATTTGGCCTGGGATGAGGATGATTTACAATGCAAAGTACCTGGTTGTATTCACTGTGTCATGATGCAACAGCAATAGAAATGCAGCAGTCTAAAATTCAGTGCTATTCACATCACACTCCCATCCAGCTTCTTGCTCAGCCCATTATACAGATAAAACCACCTGTAATGTTTGGGTCTTGGATGACTTTCAGAAGACAGCTTTCTAAATAAAAAGGAAGAGGAGAAGGGGTTTGTTTAAAGCTACTTTTGCTTCTTTTTTTCCCTTTCTCCCTTTTTTGCAATTAGAAGTAACTTTTTGTGTGCATTTTATCTCATTGGTTTAGAGAATGAGCTAACATTTACAGTGAGAGGATCCTTTGAAGAAACCCAGAGAGTTTCAGTTGGCTGTGACTCCGGCTCCCCAGTCCCAGATCCCACTCTCTTCCACTATGCCAAATACAAGCAGCCTTCCCTGGATGTTTCACTCACAAAGAAGAGGAAACTTCCCACCTTTGTACGTTACCCTAGAACATGGTAGACAACACAGACAGTCCTATGATCTGACCTTTACATGCGAGTAGGCAGCAAGAGGAGAATATTTCTGTCTTAACCAAAAAGTACTCCGTGCTCCTTTTCAGTGTGCTTGCATGTCATGCGGAGCAAGAAGGAGAAACGTCCCCCTGACTCTCCCTCTCAAGTCGCTCCCCTCTGAGCAGGAAGTAGTATGTGAGGTAAGTGTCCGCTTTTAAAATTGTTGCTTTTAAAGCTTTTGCTTTTAAAAATTGCTGCTGGTTCCCAAGAGGCAGAAACTGAAGAGCACCTCTCTTTACACAGAGCCAGTTGTTTTCTAACCTCCCTCGCATCTAGGGCAATGCATAATGAAGTAAATTATTTGGAGCAAAATAAAATGGGAAATCCAGGGGAGAAGGAGGAAGAAGAAAAATGTCTAAGCTGTTGCTCATGCTCCTTCTATTGTCCATGTCCTTGGCCAGGCTGGAGGTCACTGGGTGCCACAGGGACAGGGGGTGAGGCTGCAGCCTGGCACACTGCCATGGGAGGCAAACCCGTGCCACAGTTACGAGTGCTCAGCCTCTTTTGGCTTCCCCTTGTATCTCACATTGTTTTGTGAGAGGCTTTAGTTTCAAGACCCATGTTTAATGGTGGTCCCTTCCAGGGAAGTGAGGTGTAGCACCGAAGCTCTTCTGCTATTTATTTGTGTAGCTAAGGAGTACCAGTGCAAGCTACACCTGAGTTTCACAGCAGAGAGAAGATGCAGACTATAGATGATAATACCAAAGTCTTAATTTATTAAATCGCTGCACACCTCTGGGTACTAATGAAATATTGAGAGGACAGTCTATCTCTCAATCTCAGTTCACTGGGGTTCAGAGCTTTCTAGGTATAATGATGACCCAAAAGAGCTATGTCTCATTCTGAGTGGGGGAAAAGGACTGTTCTAAACAATATGTCAATATTGATAATTTTACCTTTTTTAAAATTTCAGCACAGAAAATTTGATTTGCGCTTTAAGGTGAAAGAATGGTAAGATACCTTATTTATCTTCCTTCTGTGTTTTTCCCCTTGGTTCTTTGAATTTGGATAGTTGTCGATCAAGTTCCAATCCCTTTGTTGCAGCCTGCATCCTGAATGCTGGCTTATCCTCCTTTCAGACTACAAAATAAAATGGACTTGGTACACAATACAGAGATTTTCAGTGACCCTGAGTTTATGTAACGGGACTATACAGTGAGTTAAGAAAAGGTTTTATAAAGAACACACCAATTTTCTATTGATATTTTGCTGCAATCAAAATTATGTGCTAAGGGCCACTGTAGACACTCTTTGATACATCTACAACTTATTGCCAAATGCAGATTTTCAATAAAAAGCAGCATTTCAAAACAAATTGAAAGAAACCTTTCTATTTCCCAAGGTCAGAGGAAAAAACTAAAAGACCAAAGTCAGCGTGCCTGGCCATTCTAGGATATGAAGAAATTGAAATAATAAATGTGCCTGTATTTATTTTTTGAATGTCTCCTCAAAGAGATAAATGCAAATTAACTCAATCAAGTGATTGCTTATTTCTAAATCAAGGAAACACATTGTGTATTTTGATATATGGTTAAGGCCTTAGTAAAATATATAAGATGAATATGTTACATTATGTAACATATTGTAAGGGAAGTTCTCTTCACTTAAAAAAGCAGGTGCATCTTCTGTCATGCTGCAAATATGCTATGAGAGATACATATATTTAAAAACTTCTTCCTTACCACACCCAAGAAAGATTTTCATAGCAGCTTCCAAACTGCAGCTTTAGTGCTTATAAATATCCATAAATGACTATATACATGCCCCCCCCCCCCCCCCCCCAAAACACCAAACACCCCA